ATAACCTATTTGAACTCACATGTTTGAATGCATACCTCTTTCGAACCATCTATAAGTTGAAAAATCGTTGTCAAACCATGATAAGCCAGGGACTGTCTGTATTTCAAATAGGTATCTTCTGGTAACATTAATGACATTTTTGAGTAGTGATACTTCATACATTTTCTGGAACTATTTACCTCCCTCCATGTCATAAATAAAACTTCCAAAATATACAAACTATTTCCTTTTAGATGAATTGTTACAACAGATACAGAAGTAAATAATAGGTACCTTGAAATGTATTGGGGAGTGAAGTGTAGATCTGATTCCTGGCGATACTTTATCACACAATTCTGATTACCTAGTAACCATCCTGACAGCCAAACACTGGTCTGAAGTTGAACACGCCCACCCCATTCTGCCCAGCCGTGTCCATTTCCCAAACTGATTTCTCCTTACCTTCTCTCCACCTAATAAAATCCCTGCTTCCCCAAGCTGGATTTCCAAAGATTGGAAAAAGACCTTCTCATCAGAGAAGGGTCAAATATAAAATGCAGTATAAATTATATAGTGCTGAGCATTTTCTCTTATGCTTTTATCTTCATTACAATTGCTTCAAACACATATTGTAGAGAACAAATAAGTCTAAATGTTTATCTTCCATCTATTTAGAAAAATATTTAGTGTATCTCAGAAACAAAATAAAGTGTCCTAGAATGATCCTTAACATTTGTAATTCATCCTTTCATACCCAGTGTCTCATTTAATCCTCCCACCTCCCTGAGAGACGGGTGTTGTCACCCTCACCCCAGCCTGCAGGTTGAGGACCGAATATACGGTCGGACAGGAGAAGGCATTGACAGCGGGACGAAGGCAGCTGCTTGGGTGCACTGCACTGGGATGGGCAGATTTGAAACTTGAGCTTGTGTCTCTGCATTGAGGCTGCGAGATGGAGCAAGCTCTAATAAAGAGTTGATTATAGGCCGGGCGCGGTGGCTCACGCCTGTAATCCTAGCACTCTGGGAGGCCGAGGCGGGCGGATGGCTCAAGGTCAGGAGTTCAAAACCAGCCTGAGCAAGAGCGAGACCTATACACGGGCATCGAAAGACCATTTGCCCTTCGCTATCAAATTTTTTAACATTCAAAATCCTACATACAAGTCAGTATACTCAATAAATGCAAAACTTAATATTTTTCAAATTATTCATAATCTGGGAACATGTTCTGAATTCTTGATTATATGATTTCAGCGCATGTCTAAGAAGCCCTTTGGGTTAATCCTACTACATTTCCTGTTAAAGATTGATATAACGTGGTTCGTTTCCTCACTCCCAACATGGTCGATCTTCTTTGCACTATAATGGTATTAAATCGTTTTTAGTAAAGTCCAGTTTGACTAATTCTTTACAAACAACAGAAAACGACAACGAAAACCCCTACAATATAAGTATCATCAATCCTAGAATTAATAATAGGGTAACCCAGAAAGTCTGCAATACTCAATGACTCTTAACAGAGGACATAGAAAGAAACAATGACTTGTCGAGAAAAAATTCCGCGAAAAGCAACACTGAGCACACCCTATGGGTACGTTGAAGCATTGAGCAGGAGTAGAGAGTAGAGCCTTCTGTTTAATGTGATCACTTCTCTTTCAGTCTATCTTAGACTATTGCATTACATTACGACCTGGGAAAAACCCATAGAACCACCAGAATACCTTAGGCAAAAACTTAATCTTAAAAAATGTTGCTCTTCTCAAGAACCAATTACCATTCACGCCTACATTGGGAAAAATGCACATAACATGACAGCTTATGTATAACCAACAAGTTTGACGATCCTCACTGATTATGGACTGCCTGTACTGAAAAATGGAAAACCAGAACAGACGTACGGAGGAATAACTATTGAACTCAACAATGTTTGACATGCATGACCGTCTTTCCAGAACACATCGATAAGTTGAAATCGTTGCAAACCATCGAATACACAGGACTGGTCTTATTTCCAAATAGGTATCTTTCTGTAACATTCAAGGACATTTTTCGAGTAGTGATATCTCCATAAATTTCTGGAACTAATACGCTCCCCTCCATGTCAATGAAATAATTCAAAATATACAAATTATCTTCCTTTTAGATGAATCTGTTAACAGATACAGAGTAAATAAAGTTGAAGGTTGAAAACGCTTTGAAAATGTATTGGGGAGTGAGTGTCAATCTGATTCCTGTGAACTTTATCACACAATTCTGAATTACCTGTAACCATCTGAAAGCCACAACACTGCTGACAGTTGAACAACGCACCCCGATTTTTTGTGTCAGTCCTTTTTTTGTTTGTTCTATTCTCATATACTTTATTTTTCTTTATTTTTTTCTTCTTTTTTTTTTTTTTTCCTACTCTTTTTTTTTTTTAATTTTATTTTATATATTTTCTTTCTTGCTCTTCCATAGCGTATTTTTCCAATATTATTATTATATATTTTTTCTCTATCTAGTATTATATGTGTGTTTTCTATTATTTTATATATATTGTCTATTATATTTTATATTTTATTTTATGCTTATCATATTTTTCTCTTTATTTGCTTATCTCATTTTACAATTTGCTTCAAACACATATTAAGAACAAATATATTTTTTAAATGTTTTATTTTCTTCCATCTATTTATTTTTTTGTTATATATATTATTTATTATTTTTGTATTCTTAGTTAAACTATATATTAATATTGTTCTTTGAATTTGATTTCTTTTATATCTTGTATATTTTTCTCATCCTTCCTATTTTTTACCTTTCTAGTGTTCTCATTTATATTCCTTCTTCTAATCTCTTCTTAGTTATCGTGTTTTTTTTTTTTTTTTTCTTACTTCTTTTTTTTTCTCTTATTTTTTACTTCTTTCTATTGCTCTTTTCAGGTTTGATTTGTATCCTGAATTTATTTATTCGTTGTGTTCCTCCCGGTTTTTTTTTTTTTTTTTTTTTTTTTGTTTTTTTTTACTATGTGATGTATGTTTGCATTTGACTTTATGTCGGTTGTATCATATGGCAGCTGCTTTGGGTTGCTTACTTTGGCTACTGAATTTGCAGTATTGAACTTTGATCCCTTTGTGTGGGTGTCCCCTTCTCTTTTTTTGTCTATTTGGGGTTGTTTTGATTATTTGTTTTCTTGTCGATGTATTGTTGAGTTCTTATACATTTTCTTATATTTTATATTTTTTATTGAGTTGATTATTTTATTGTTGTCTATTTTTCTCTTTTTTTTTTGTTTTTTTTTTTTTTTTTTGGTCGTGCTGCTTTTTGTTGGCTTCTACGTCTTTTGTATATTTTCCATGCACTCTTGTGGTAGGTTTTTCTTGTAGTCGGGGTGGCTCAAGGTCAGTTTTGAGTTCTGATTAACAGCTGAGCAAGAGCGAGACCCCGTTCTACTAGTATAATAGAAGAAATAATTGGCCAACTAATATCATTTAGAAAAAATTAGCCAGGCATCGGTGGGCACATGCCTGTAGTCACCCAGCTACTCGGGAGGCTGAGGCAGAGAGATTGCTTGAGCCCAGGAGTTTGAGGTTGCTGTGAGCTAAGCGACGCCACGGCACTCATCTAGCCTGGGCAACAAAGTGAGACTCTGTCCAAAAAAAAAAAGAGTTGATTATATCAGCACGCCGAAGGGCTGGAGTTGCAGGTTCCAACCCCAGAGGTACTATATGCAGGGTGAAGGATGAAGACAACTGGGAGGATACAGCTGGAAAGCTAACCTAGGGGAAAGGTGGCCCTCTGGAAGTGTCCAAGTGCAGCTCTTGGGAGGAGCAGGAGGGAGGTGGCAAGGCTGCAGAGGGAGCGTGAGGGTCTTACTTTCTGACAGCCATTTCTACTCTGAGGTGGAGGAATTTGAAAACAGCTAATTACACATGTGATCATTCAGAAAAGTTCAAGTAAGGGTAAAAAG